AGAGCGGTCCATGAGGCGTCTATGCTTATATTATGTCTATGGTTAAACCAGTCCCATCTTTACATCCCTGCAGGAAACAAAGCAGAAACAGCTGGGTCAATACCACAGCCCTCTTTTAGCGGCAATAAGTGATGTCTTCAAGTGTAATGACTACAGACACACTTATGGAAGATCTGTATCAAATTCGTTGCAATAATAGAATTAATATTATATAATATTATTTGCAGAGATGAACACCTCTGGTTGATATTACAGTCGAGGAAAACATCAAGGTGCTTTAATAAAATGATCTCCCTCTACTACATGATGTCTGACCTTTCTTGTCTCTAGCAGGGGGGATCTCTTATGTCAGTTTAGTGGTGTGCTCAGCAGAGGGATTGGAGTATCCATGGAGTCAGAAAGCAAAGGTCATTGTCATTTATTAATGGATAGATGAGAGCAAAGAGTCTGGCCACTCACTGTGTCCCTGCATGAATCAACTCCACTGAGCAGAAAATTAAAATGGAAATTTAAGCCTTCACAGAGTCAAGGATTCCGTTGACCTGTGCTGTATGATTTTATGATTTGTGGTAACTGCTTACATCACCTTGATGCAGCCTGGACCACCCAACTTACTGACACTTCAACCTAGAACCATTAAAAAGTGTACATTTATATTCAGCTCCCTGTGTGATTGATGTGTAAAACCATCTACAGTCTGAAGGGTTTTTTCCTTCCTTCATTGAAAAAAAATGCTCATGTTCAGTTAGATTTAATGGAGAACATCAGTTTCAAGTCCTACCACAGACCCTCGGTTGGATTTAGTTCTGGACTTTGATTAGGTCATTTTTACAAATATGCTTTTTTAACACATTTAAGCTGTTTATGTCGTCTATCCGACATGTGATGTCATCTAGTTGATGTCCTGAAGCAGAGGTTTAGATTATTCAATTCAATTCAATTAAAAAATACTTTATTGATCCCAAAAGGAAATCTAAAGTTGTTGTAACTCATATTAACTCAGATTCTTCAAATAGTTATTGTAGATATTGACGGCTGTTGGTAGAACAGATCTCTTGTAGTGGTCTGTGTTACAGAGAATTTGAAGTAGCCTCTGACTGAAGACATTCTTCCTTCCCAAGACAGTCTCATGAAGACGAAGGTCAGGGTTGTCCATAATTTTTGTGATTTTATGAAGAATCCTCCATGGCATCATCATATTCATAGGTTCCACAGTCCCTACAACAGAACCAGCCTTTTTTAACAGGCTGTTGAGCCTTTTTAGGTTCCTGGCTCTGATGCTGCTGCCCCAACAGATGACTGCAGAAGAGATGACGCTGTAAACAAGACACTTATAGAAGATCTGTATCTTGAAAGATCTTGCTTCCTCAAGAAGTACAGTCTGCTTTGACCCTTCAGATAGATGCTTCCTGGTTGCGTCTCCAGTCCAGTCTGTTGTCCCGGTGAACACCATGATGGAAAAAGGGTTTGACCTAACCTTCTTTCTCCAGAAATCAACAATCATCTCCTGTTTTGTCTACATTCACAATGAAATGATTGTTTTAGTCTACCAGCTGTCCTCAGCCTCTTGTCCATCTCTGGTCCGTCCTAGAACTGCAGACCCTAACCCTTACCCTAACTCTTGTGCTGGAAGTCTGAAGTAAGAGTAAAAATGAAACCTTGAGAGTACAGGCCCTGTGGTGCTTTTGTGTTGCTGATCACCTGGTTAGACACACCTCACAAACTGTGGTTTGTGTGTGAGGTAGTCATGAGGTAAGTGATTGTTCAGGCCTCCATCTGTGTCTTCTGGAATTTCTGACAAAGCAAATCAGGCTGAATTGTGTTAAATGCACTGGAGAAACCAAAGAAAAATTTCCTCTCTGGAGCTTCTCTACCGTTATACATTACCCCATTGAGACAGTGCCTTGCCCATGGCCAAAATGAAATTAATTAAAAACCAAATTCATCTGGCACCATCACTTTGGAGGCAGACGAATCCAACCCACTATACCCACTCCCACTATCATTACTTTCTTCATGTACAGCCAAACATGGCCATCCACCCAGGGTCTTTCTGCATGGAGTTTGCATGTTCTCCCTGTGCATGCTGGGTTCTCTCTGGGTACTCCAGCTTCCTCCCACAGTCCAAATATCAGGTTAATTGGTCTCTCTAAATTCTCCCTATGTGTGAGTGTGTGTGTGTGGTTGTTTGTCCTGTCGGTCTCTGTGTTGTCCTGCGACAGACTGTCCAGGGTGACCCCGCCTCTCGCCCGAAATGTCTTGCTGGAGAGGCACCAGCTACCCACTAGGGGCAAGGGTGTTAGAAAATGGATGGATGGATAAATATTTTAATGAATAAATATTTTTTGATTTGTTTCCAAGTACAACTAGTTAAAAACAACAAAACCAGACAAAATGACAGTAATATATTTTATTAAATATTTTGTCAGGTTTTACATATTCTTTTATGTTTTACCTGTAGAGCTCATGCATTGTGCCTCACAGTTGGACTTTATCATGTCACTGAGAAAACAATCAGCAATAAAGTTTTCTCACTCATCCACAAATGTAGGTTCTGAGGAAATAGAGATATCATTTCTGCTAATGAAGAACTGACACACAGATAGTCATTGTTCTTCATTCACCCACTCCAATGCACTTTGCTACAGTCAGAAACATGTCACCCTGCCAAGCAAGAATGCCATTAAAGTGAATGAGTTTGTGCAAATATCCAGCTCATATCTACAAAAGACANTCGGNCTTTTGTAGAACCTAGTTAGAAGCAAGGGGATAAAGGGCTTAAATATATTAAATATCAAATAGGAATTAATTCATAGATATAATATGTCCCGCAAAGGCAAATACAAAGTAAAACATGCTCAAGGAAATACAACATTTTTTTATTCCATCTTTTAATGTTTTAGGGGGTAGATCACACTACATTGAAATCCGCATCACATATAAAAAGTTTCACAAATTATTATTAAAGGCAGAAAACACTAATAAAAACAAGGGAAATGAGGATTCTTCAGGTAATTATCCTGGCATCACTTTTGGTGAGTTTGTAAATTAAGTTAAACATTAAAACAGACATACATAAAGACTTCAATCAAAAGAAATATTTTAAAATGTTTGGTCCATGCTAATAAAATTTCTACCCAAATGTTACCGTAAAACTGTAAAGGGGCTAATAAGGAGCAATAATTTAAATAAAGTATGAGATAGCTCATTTGCCATTTTATGACCTTTAGACATGTTGGCACCTTTACCTAATCTCAGAGCTAAAGGATCTACATTCAGTAGGGAATAAACATGGCCCTGCTGTTTACCATGAAAGTGGCACAGATTGCTAACATAAAATGCCAAGTGAAACTTTAAATGTCAATTTAAACAGTTAGTCTGTTCTGAAGTCATTAAGCATGATTTTCCAGTAACTACTATTATCATGCACATTGTGATGTCACCTTGGCTTCTGAAGTAAATCCTTGATGACTGCTAGGAAGGCTGAAAGAAAATTATATATAATTACAGTTCTTACAGAGGACTCTACATTTCTGGTTAAGATCAGTACTGTCCGGTCAAAGCATTGCAAAAGCTGGAGGTGAAACATGGATAACAAATCTTTGATTAGAGCCTCTAGATGACAGTGTGAGCAGAAGACCTCATGTTCCCACTGGATCTAAACTCCTCCTGTTAATCCACATGGCCTTGTTCTAACTCCCTGTAGATCATTTAGAATTCTTCCATTTGTCTGCATGTGTACTACTTTCCATCTGAGCTGATCACTGGTTTTGTGAAACAAACAGTTTTTTAAGCCTGTGAAAATCACATCACCTTGATAACTAGATCTGAATGGGTCATCAAATAAACACTTCAACTGAACTTATTTTTATTGTATATTTGAGCCAGTCTAGGAGTTTGTCCACCACCATGAAGACATATTTAACATTAAAATTTAGTTTACATCAAATAATAATCATAACCATGTAAACTAAGATTCATGTGATGTTGATTAGCCTAAAATAGACTTCAGTCAATGATAAGACATCATAATTCACTGTCATGAAATTAAGTTTACAGGATTTCCATCTGCCTTGCACACAACTGGAACCAATCATCCACCATATAAAAATACACATAGCCATTATTTTCTCTATTTCTGATGTGAAACTGGATATTTTTTTCCCCTGTTTAAGGTCAGTTAAGATTACCAAAACTATTTCTACTTGTTAAATGTTAAATCAGAGAAAGACTTTTTATTACTTTCTTCAAATTCATGGTTCCACTGTCCTGTCGTTACCTTAAATGTGAAGCTGCATCCTACTGAGGGTGGATATGCAGTCAAATATGCAGCAGAACAGAGCTACATTCTGTTTCTGCAGACTGCATCATATTTTGTGATTTCCCTCTATTCTATCTCCCATTGAACATACTAATAATGACAAATGTAATAATTTAAGAGTACAGTCTATAGAAAATCAATAGGGAACATACTTCTCCACCTAAGAACCATGACCAGCTCACACACAGTTGCTGAAAGAGAACTGGTCCTGCTCTACAGGTTTCTTAACCCAGGCTCCCAGTCCAGCCTGGAGGAAGGCTCTGAAGAGAGTCTGCTTGGCAGAGTGGTACTGCGCTGCGGCCTGCTTAGCTTCATGGTAGCTCCTGGGCTCCAGTGTTTGAATACGCAGGGTGGAGGACAGCTGTTGAGCATAGAAACAAAAGGGACATTTTAAAGAAAAGTTCATAAAAGATTTCACAGAGTCTGCTCTTGCATAAAAAGCACAACATCAGGGATGAATACAAATTAAGCAAAGTAGTTAGAGGATACAAACAGGATAAGCCTTGTAATGCTCACTGGCTTTGCTAACACATGCTTCAGTTCAGGTGAGCTATTGTTACCCTGCAAGATAAAATGCATTAGGATCACCTCTGTATGTGATCTGCTCATATTTCCTGTTCTGTCACAATACATGCAGTGTTCTGACTCATAGGTGTTACCTTGCTGTGCAAGTCAATCCAACGGGTGTACAGAGCATGCTTGCAGAGTCTCGAGGGTCGGCCCAGGTCATCCTTCCCTGTGGTGGCGTTAATCACCTCCAAACCCTGGTCTCCGATGGTCCAGTTCACGCTGAAATTTGGGGCTTTTCCAGGCTGACGAGCCTCTGTGTTACTAATTCCTGTAGAAAATCAGGGTCTTGCTCATTCAGGTTCTTCATCAGACTCTGTCCTTTGAACAGGTTAGATTCTAAAAACATTCTAACAGAGGATTCGTTCATGAGTTTCAAAGCAAGGTTCAAACCAGAAATGTTCCCCTTAACTCATAAATATTCTGATTTTTATGGAAACTAGAAATTGATCAGTATAGTGGCAGGTATAAAACGGGTGATGGACACAATACAGTATAACATTTCACACTAAAAATGTCTCTAGCAGTGAAACAGAACCTTCTCCTTACTGTCTTGGTCCTGCTTGCTTATTCAGCTACTGTACACCATGACAGTACAGATTTACATGGACGAGTTACTGCATGCAATCTTAGTCTGAGTAGATTGATTCAATATAATGGTTTTCCTTAGATAGGCCAATTTTAAACAAATTTGAATAACAAATTGAATTTGACTGCACTGTTTGATAACTAGGATCATTTGGAATGTATGTATAATTGTATGGAAATAAATTTTTGCAAAGTGCCTTGAGATGACATATGAATTGGCACTATATAAATGAAGTTAATTGATATTGAATTGTAATTGAGTTTTAGTGTGAAATAACACTATGGCAATAAACTAGTTGGTCATTTTTAAGTTTTCAGAAATTGCTACCAGATTTACAGGAATCTGTGTAAGGAAGACCAGTCCTTGAGAAGAACTGTCCTGCAATTCTTATGTGCATCACCTTGTCCAACATACCTGAATTCCCTCATCAGCAGACCTTTAGCTCTACAGAGGACTGCTAATGAGCCATTCATTTGATTCTGGGGTGTTGGAGAGGGATTGCTTCTAAGAGTAGCAGAATAGTAGCTCTCAAGGGCCAGACGTGGCCACCTCTGGAGGACTGTGGGATGCAAGTATGACATCGGTTACCACTGAGCAGAGGCTTGTTCAGGCTGAAAGGTGGCGGTAGCACCTCCATCTCAGTAAGTCTCTGGTACATGGCTCTGGACAGATGGTCCGCATGGTACAAGCTGCCCAGGATGATGCTGGAGAAGTAGATGGGCTGAGTGAAGTAGGTCATCAAAGAGCCTTGGAATCCAACCACATTCCACCTTTTCATGACGCCAAAAGACAAATACAGAAAAGAAACTCAAAGAAAATCACATATCTACAACACCCATTGGACATTCTTGCAATGAAAATGTATCCTAGAAATTCTGACAGTGTAATGGAATTGTAATAAAATTTCTGCTGACTCATCAAAAAGCATAATCCGAGAACATGTTGGATCCTGACATCTACAAATCTAGAGACACAAAGACGACAGTGGTATGAGTTCGCTCTTCAACCTGGTGGGTAAGACATTTCACCTGCCTTACCTGTTGGTGTTCATAACGGCTAACTGTGTGATATAGCATAATCATGTGAAGCATCTTTTAGTGTCCTGAAAAGCACTATGTAAGTCTGATGTTATGTCATCATTTCAGAGTAAGAATGATTAATTCATCATCCCTACATGATGCATGCATGTAGGGATGGTCTACAAAGGTTAAGGGGCAATCATTTTGGGTAAGAAAGTTTTATAGGTATGAATACTTTCATAAGGCATATTATGTCAGAATTTGATCAAAAGTGGATAATTAAAAAGACAACACAGAAAGTACTGACATCTAGGTACAGAGTCTGATGGATCCCAAGGTGTCAAAAAGCTTTACACCTGAAAGTGAGTGAGTAAAGTGAGTTAGTCAGTTGTCTGTGTGTGGGGGCCAGAAGACAGACCTGGCAATCTTGTCGCTGCAGGACATGGTGAGCAGCCTCTCACCCTGAAGAACCCCGTCCCATGTCTGAATGGTGCTACCAGAGCGCACTGGGATGGTTCCTTCACCAGACTCAATCTTAGTCCGGAGCTGCCCGCGGGCCTTCCTGTTAGGGTGTCTGTCGCTCTGATCTGAGAGATTCAAAGAGAGAAACAAGGAAAATGGAGCAACAACCTCTGAGGAATGACGAGAAAACCTTTTGCTAAAGGCAGCTGAAGAACCCGTCCTTGCCTTCTACAGCAGCTTCGTGAGGTGAAAAGATGCGGGCGTCGCCGCAGGGGGAGGTGCTGATGTACAGGTGGAACTGGACATTTTCACTCAGTCTGAAACCTTGTTTGTTGTCACAGCAGGTGAAGATAGATTTGTGATGATCTTCTTCCTTAGGACTAAAGATTCAAATTCATAAAACAGACAGGAAGTTTAGTTTCAAACTGGTATCAATCAGGCTTATGAAACTGAGTCAACACGAAAGGCAAAGATCACAGTTCTTTTCTATTAATAAGAAAAAGTGGGAGCAGGGCCGCGGTGTAGGGGGGGGAATGTGATGACAATTCTAGGGGCCCTGACCAATAGGGGGCCCTCCACAATTTATTTATTTTTTATTCATAGCCGCATTAACGGTGATGGAAGAATAATAAATATAGAAGAATAAAGAGACATTCTATTGGGTGTAGATTAATAGGTGCCTGCCATGCAGACAGTTTACCTCCGTATCCAAACGGAGTTTCTGACTCTGTCTGCTGTTGCCTTTACTCCGAGCCATTCAGAGGGGGGAGGGGGAGGAAGCGCTCT